TCATCCTGTCCTACAGAAAAGTAAACATTCCTACATCAATATTTTTTTTAAACTTTTTATAATTGTTTTTAAAATTGTATTTCTAAATTTTTTTATGCATTAATAGTATTGGTATTATTTTCAATGTACTATGCTTATTTTATATCTAAAAGAATATTAAATGAAAAATGGCTAATTTTTCTAATTCAAAAAGAGCGAATTCCCGAGCGGCTTTTGCCTGACCCTGGGACAATTTGTTTATATCGCTGTTTTGCACGTCCTACTTTGTTATAGTTGTAGAGTCACTTAATTTAAACTTTTTGAATTTTTTTTTTCGATACATTTCTTTGGATCAATTAGAACCTATATCTACGATATTAACTTCTAAAATTAAGGTTTAGTAATTAAACAATTAAATAGTTGTAAAATAATGAACGAAATTAATTTGGCACACGTTTGTTTGTCTTTGGATTGACAGTCTTTTCCATAAATTTCATCAACATCCATTGCTTTTTGCAATAATAATGCACAATTTTTGAAAACTAGGAGTTTTCCTCGTCGACCTTTTACAGTTAACAAATTGGTGAAATATGACTATATAGGTACCTTAAATTGTAGGTAATTTAATTGCGTAAACCATAAAATAATTAATTTTCCGATATGTCGTCTAAATTTTCATGTACACTAAAAAATAAAGAAAAACACTTAATTTTGCCACTTATTTGCAATTTTCCAACTTAGCGCCATTTCTTTCGAGTTACTTTTTTGTTCTTATCAAAGTACATACCCTTCCTACTAATAATTTTTTTATGTTCAAACTCTAATTCAACTGGTGTAGTAATGTTTACTTAATTTACAAAATATACTGTAATCGTAAATGCAGTCTCTAAAACTTTGTCTTATTTTATATTATATTATACAGGGTGGGCTATTAGTGTGAGAAAGTAAAATAACTCCCTTGTTATTCATAATACAGAAAAGTTGTACAGAATCAAAAAACCTAAAGGACACAATTAATTTGAAACATACAAGGCGATTAGTAAAAACGGGACACGACAAATATTACATTTTTTAAATGGAATACTCTGTATTCTATTCTATATATGGCAATATAAACAGTTTAACATTTTAGTGCGGTGTTGCCAAGTTATGTAAAAAATTCTTCGAATTTTGGAAAAAACATGACCTCGAAGAAGTTGTATTAACTTTCAACTACTAACACTTGGAGCAAAAATATTTGACAGAGTTATAGACAAATCTTAGGCAAAAACTCCTATATTAGCTAATAACGATATTTTATACAGGGCATTTTTTATAATACGATAATTTTTAGAAAGTTCAAACTTGATTTTCTAAAATTTTTCAAATGGAACACCCTGTATTTTATCCCCCTTCAAGTTTTATTAAGTATTAGTTTTAAGATAAAGCAACATTTCTGGGAAGACCTAATTTTTATTATTTTCGGTCGCACGAAATAGCTTTGGAAAAAACTGTCAGATTGTGTCAACTTGTCAGTTGATAATTTATCCTTCCATTTTGAGTTAATTTTATTATTTAATATTTATTTGTGGTTTTCTATAAAATAATAAAAATTAAGTTTTAGCAGAAATGTAGCTATATCTTAAAAACTAAGAATTTTAGATGTAGAACATGCTTAATAAAAGTTGAAGTGGACCGATATGTGAATAAAATAGAAAGACAAAATATAAGGTGTTCTATTTGAAAAATTTTAGAAAATCAAGTTTAAACTTTCTAAAAATGATCGTATTATAAAAAATGCCCTGTATAAAATATCAATATTAGCTAATATAGGAATATTTGCCTATAACTCTCTAGCTGAAAGTTAATACAACTTCTTCGAGGTCATGTTTTTTTCCAAAATTCGAAGAATTTTCTACATAACTTGGTAACCCCGCACTAAAATGATAAACTGTTTATATTGCCATATATAGAATTTTCTCGGAAATCCATGTTTAAAAATATACAGGGTGTTCCATTTAAAAAATGTAATCTTTGGCGTGTCCCGTTTTTACTATCGCCCTGTATGTTTCAAATTAATTTTGTAGTTTAGGTTTCTTGATTCTGTACAACTTTTATATAAACTTTTTTCCTGTATTATGAGTAACAAGGGAGTTATTTTACTTTCTCACACTAATGACCCACCCTGTATACAATTATGTATTGTATTATATATACTATCCTTAAAATTATCCTTAATGGAAAACTGTTCTAATATTAAAACTTTTCCAATTTTTTTTAATTTTTCAGATAAACTATGAATATACAGGGTAGGCCACCAGTAACGCCTCGGTCGCTAGTGACCAAACGGCAAATGTTATAGAAACCTGTTTAGGTGGGTATGTGTAGGTTGATTACGGCTACATTTTAAAAATATTTTGAAATATACAGGGTGTCCAGGAAAAGCGTACCATATCAAAGTTATTTTTTTTTAATGGAACACCCTGTATTTTACTGCATTTTTGAAAGCACCGTAACAAACTAGGTGAACTTTATTAAAGGTTCTGCATATCTAGGACTTATTGTTTGTGAGATATTTCAATTTTAGTGAAAATGCAGGCTTAGCGTAGAAATTTAATATTAGCAATAAAAAATTATTTTAAGGAAGCAGCTTTGGAGGGTCTATTTTAGATCCTTGAAGAATTGTTATATTTGTCGTCACTTATACTGGGTGTTCAAAAAACTGCTGAATACTTCTCTACTTTAAACAGCAATAACTTGGTTATTTTAAATGGAACACCCAGTATATTTTTACTTTGGGAGTTGGGAAATTTAAAACTCTTTCAAACCGTGTATAGGTTCTCTATACCTATCTCTAACGGTATTGGAGATGTTTGTGCCGTTTATAAAATTTAATATTAAAATTTAAATTTTTTATCGATTTTTTTTGTAAGATGTATCCAGGTGTCTTTATCGAGGACTTTACTGAATTGATTTGGGTTCTTCTTGATAACGTTTCTTTAAATATATTGAGAAAAATGAGGATGCAATTAGATGGCGCACCTGCAAATTTTTCATATTCAGTGAGAAATTATTTAAATCGAAAATTTCGTAACAAATGGATAAGTAGGAATGGTGCATGTCAGTGGCCATGTAGGAGTCCAGACCTCACCGTAATGGACTTATTTGTTGCGAGCTATATAAAAAATATTGTACACCTACTACTTGCGATGATATTAAAGCGAAGGATTAGATACGGATTTTCGTGAGAATATCATTTGAAGATAGAATAAGATGCTTGTATTCAAGAGAATGGTTATCAATTTGATCATCAATTAAAATTTTTCTTTGTTTCTTCTAAAAGTAAAATTTCCTTTTATCATTATCATGACAATATTCAAAAAAGTTTTCTAATAAAAAATATTATTTTATAAGCAGAATAATTATAAAATGTCATTAATTTTGTATAAATATGTTTGTAGTAAGTAACTGAATTATTTATGAACATGAAAAATATTTATTAAAGAAAATTTTTCTTTTAGAAGAAACAAAGAAAAATTTTAATAGATGTTCGAATTGATAACCATTCTCTTGAATACAGCATCTTATTCTATCTTCAAATGATATTCTCACATTCCTTAGAATATTTGGGGTGATTGTGGCAAATGCATATCTAATCCTTTCCTTCATATCATCGCAAGTAGTAGGTGGAACACTGTGTACAAGATATATTTTTATACAGCCCGAAACAAAGAAGTCCATTACGAGAGGTTTGGACACCTGTGGTAGCCACTGACATGAACCATTCTTACCTACTCATTTATTACTTAATTATCGATTTATATAATTTCTCACTGAATATGAAAAATGTGCAGGTGTGCCATCTATTTGCATTCACATTTTTCTCCTTATATTTAAAGAGACGTCATCAAGAAGAACCCAAACCAATTCAGTAAAGACCTCGATAAAGACACGTGGATACATCTTACAAAAAAAATCGATAAAAAACGAAACGGCACAAATATCTCCAATACCGTTAGAGATAGGTATAGGGAACCTATACACGGTTTGAAAGAGTTTTAAATTTCCCAACTCCCAAAGTAAAAATATACTGAGTGTTCCATTTAAAATAACCAAGTTATTGCTGTTTAAAGTTGAGAGAAGCAGTCAGCAGTTTTTTGAACACCCTGTATAATACTAAGTGACGACAAATATAACAATTTATAATTTCAAGGATCTAAAATAGACCCTCCAAAGCTGCTTCCTTAAAATCATTTTTTTATTGCTAATATTAAATTTCTCCGCCATGCTTGCATTTTCACTAAAATTGAAATATCTCACAAACAATAAGTCCTAGATATGCAGAACCTTCAATAAAGTTCACCTATTTTTTTACGGTGCTTTCAAATATGCAGTAAAATACAGGGTGTTCCATTAAAAAAAAACAACTTTGATATGGTACGCTTTTCTTGGACAACCTGTATATTTCAAAATATTTTTAAAATGTAGCCGTAATCAACCTACACTTACCCACCTATACAGGTTTCTATAACATTTGCCGTTTGGTCACTAGCGACCGAGGCGTTACTGGAGGCCCACCCTGGATGGTATACTCATGTATAACAATTTGTTGTTGCCTCCTAAAATTATTTTAGAATAACCGAAAATTTTGGGAAAGTAATGTAAAAAGAAAAATAAAACTTTTCCGCGGAAACAACAAAATTTTCTGTGTATATTGTAGTGACTATTGTATAATAGTAAAAAATTATGTTCTTTCTGTATGAATATTTCTGGTTACGCAAAACTGAATTTATAAAGTCAAGGATAATGATAATGTCGTAGAATAAGATCGGTTGTATCTCCTGGCGGTCTTGCACGTCCATACCACTGTTACTGGGTTAAGCAACGGTACGTGAGTCCACGATTTTCTGCTGGCATGCTAAGAGGTGACCTTCCTCTACTGATGATGAGTTGTTTGGCCTTGGGAGTCCACGCTCTAATGTTTGTACTTAAAACGCACTAACACTTTGAAATGCAATAGTTTTTGTGTTTGTATGAGGCTTTCGACTGAGTCTTCTTTTATTGTAGTTAGTTAGTTTATTAACTCTGACGAGCACTCTCGCATCTTTTTAACACTGTCTGGTTTGGCTGGAGCAGTAAATTTTTGTGAGGTCTCCTGAAAGAACTGGAAGCTTGTATTGTGAGGTCTCCACGTGTCTGATATGGAAGCTTTAAGAGCTTGTATCCCTCAGGATCTTCGTCGTAGGCTCAGAAACTTCTGGATGGTATGAGTTACAAGAACTATGGGAGCATAGAGCCCGTTAAATTTTTTGAGAGAAATTTTTAACTCGGTAACAAATTTTTAGCTAATTTACAATAAATGAAAGCAGTGATAATAGCTGTATATGTATAATGCAAGGGTAAAACATTTGGAGCGTACTGGCCTGGTTAATAAGCTGCAGGGTACTAGGGTTGACGTTCGAACCCACATTCTAGGCTAGCTGTACAGGGGATCGACAGGGGTGTCTGCGTTGGACCTGAAAAATTGGCCTCCTTGAAAAACGCCCAACTTGGAATAGTGAAAATTTCGAAACAAATGTGAAATTTTGTTTACCCGCTCTGCGCCTTCCTCCTGCGGTTTCTTATCCATAGTCTCGTACTTTTTGCGGGATTCGTACCCTGTGATTGGTTTTTTAAAAGTTTATTGAATTATTTTGAGAAAATTCGAATTCCGCTAGGGTCTCATATAACGACAATAAAATCTAAAATAACTCTTATATGAACCGGTTAAAGAAAGCAGATACCTACAATATTTTATTTACGTTTAACTAAGTCCGTTTTTTTAGATATGAACAAGGCTTAGAAGATTACGATGAAGCACAAGCAAGTATGAGGCAATCCAGAGGAATGATGATGATGATGAACGATGAAATGGATTACCACGATCATGATGATCATCCGCCCGCACATGAACACAAGGAAGAACAAAAAGCCGTACAGGAAGATCCTTGGGCTGAATATTATGACTTCATTATCAATGAAGGATCTTTCAAATTTTGGGCAGTTTTCCAGGTAATAAGTAATATACAGGCTGTTACAAATTCGCTTCTCACTACAGGGATCTGGGAAACGGTAAGAAATACGAAGTAGCTTAAATGGGGGCAAGGTTGCATAATCAGGGGACCAACATTATACCTAAAAAATCAAGGCTAACATGATGAATTTTCGAAATATTTCGAAAAAAAAACGAAGTTTTGGAAATCCGTTTCTGTTTCATTTCAGCCTTGTTTGAGGCGATATTGAAAAAAGAACACTTTTTCATGGCAACTTTTAGCACTCTATCGAATGGCATAATTATTTTTTATATGTAATGTTTCGCCTCTCCAGGACCATCATCAACTCCATTTTTTTTTAATGATACGTTGGAAATTTTATTACATTTTCGTAAGTATCGTTAGACCCTGTTAACTACCTAGTTATTTAAACTATTACCATCACACGTTACAATAAAACATTATTAGAATTTTAATCTCCATCACCTGGTCATACATAATTCGATAAGTTGTTGCGTCAAAATTTAAACATTATTACAATTTCATTTTCATTATGACAAATTAATCCTTAAAATGCATATGAACAACCAAAACTCCAAATGAATATTATACTTTACAGTAAATGTACAAAAACGTTTCCGTTTTGGCAAATGTTGATAAGCGTAATATGATCGGAATTTATTATATAGTTTTTCCGAAGTCAATTGAAGAAGCAATAATTTCAAGGTATGTACCAGGCTCGGTCGCTAAGCAGCAACTTGGCATTGAAATATTTGAAAAACTTGTTCCCACATTTATTTAGCCATACCCATATACAGATCAGAACAAAACGTGCAGGTGGTAGAAATGTATACGCTCAGTTGAAGAATGAGCGTGCGGGCAAAGAGCAATGCGCACTGTTGCTCTGGTCCATTGCGTCATAAAATTCAAGTCGCCTAGCAGTGCAGTGCGGGAATGCGGAATTTGGTGTGATTCAGATAATTTTAATTTATTATAGGCACCCTTCTATTAATCACTATATTACGATTACGAAAGGAATAAGAGATATTTGTTTTACTAATATTATTACAACATGGCATTTTGGAGACCTTTACCATCAATATAATAAAATTGTTTGAAGACATAAATAATTAAAATATGTTGTTGGTCAAATGAACATATAATAGACATTTTCTACACATTATATACAAATTATTATAATTTTCTATCATTAGCAGAAAACTTTTTTAGGGACGCCCATGAAATTCATTAAATTTGATTGCTCGTTTTTTTTTATGCATGTTCAACTGACTTCGGAAGAACTATACCTGTAACCTCAACTGTGAAAGAGCATGTCCGATGTACCTATTTGTATGAATATCCTGAAAAAAATTAGATTGAAATTTGTTTGTATTTTGAGCACTCGAGGAACCTAGAAATAACTATAAGCACGGGATTGAAACTAATAAAAAATTTAAATAAATTTGGAATGAATATATTGAAGATGATTTTTTCGAAACAAAACGTCTGAATCTGATCCGGGCTGAGGCAGTACAGTATTGGGGGTCATGAAGGCTTGCAAAAAATGTAATAATATTTCCAGGGTTGCTTTAAAAAATTGAAGTTGATGATGGTCCTGGAGAGATGAAACGTTACATATTAAAATAGGGCAAAAAGTTGCCATGAGAAAGTGTGTTGTTTTTTTTTTTTCAGTTATGTTAGCCTTGATTTTTTTGAAGCATAATGTTGGTCCCCTGATTGTGTAACTTTGCCCCCATTTTTTTTTGCCCCTGATTGTGTAACTTTGCTACTTCGTATTTCTTGCCGTTTCCGAGATCCCTGTAGTGAGAAGCGAATTTGTAACAGCCTGCATATTTTCCAAGGTCAAATGATCAAATATTAGGATAGAGACAAAATTTGGAGATGGACAGCTATTTCCACCTTTAATACATTTTTGATAGTAGAAAACGTTATACCTTTAAATATTTCCGAAAAAATAAATAGGTGGAAAGAAAAACGAGAAAATTGAAAAAACTTGATTTTAAAACAAACAAATACTTATACAGGGTGATTCAGTCATAATGTCATTAATTTTAACCACATATCCGGAAGGCTTAATAAAGACAGAAGCCCGAAGGCTTACAGCAAAATAAAAAATTAACATTATGATGTTAATAAAAACTGATTTTTGGCAAGACATGCTCAGACCTCCTCGAGGTTCTTGCTGGGCAACAATAACAATTTAATGTGTTGATTGTATAATTATAAAAAATAATTTATAGCATTTTAAATTATTATTGTGAATAACCGGCTGACGTCAGCCGGTCAGTAACAACCTAAAAAGGGGGTTAAATAAAGATTTGAAAATATATTTATTCTACTTAAATATGTATTTAATTTTTTTTTAATCACTCCATCGTATTATACTCATTTTTCTCTATCTGCTCTTAAAATTAATGACATTATGACTGAATCACCCTGTATATTTCTCCAGATATATAAAAAATATTTTATTAAAATTTATAAATTCTTGGTCGGAATACTCAAATTTCAAATTAGTACTCAAGCACAAATTAACAAAAGATAAAAATATTATTTTGTTATTTCAAACAACAAAAATATAAAAAAATCTATTTCTTATGACTAATCGAACAAAACTAAACAAAATATAATAACATTTATGTTATGACAAAAATTCAACAGTTAAAATGTTTTTTTATCCAAATTTCAACATAAAATCGAATTAAAAAAGCGAACTTAGAAAGAAAAACATTATTTTATAAATTCACTTAAAAGAAAGAGCGTCAGGTTCCATTCCTTTTCTAATGTTTCGTCCTATAATCGTATAGTTATTAGAAAAAATCGTATGGATTTTTTTGTGAAACATTACCAATTTTCACAATTTCCACGGTTTTTAATGAACGATATTTTGATGCGCGTATTTGTATTCGAATTCTGTGGGTTTTTCCCTTTATTAGATGAATCGGTAGACTAATGTAAGTTACATCATCCTGCATCAAACGTCTTAGGAGATATTTTAGAAGAGTTGATTTTTTTAATTTCAACACCCTGTATCTCAAAAACTATAGATTTGTGGATGCATGTTTATATAACCTTTTTTATTTAAAATCACTGAAAGAACCGCTCCTAAAAATTTGTCGATTTACTTATGTCATTTTTTCTTGAAAAAAATCGGTTCTTTTCTAATGCGCTATGATGACTTAGACAGCGGCCAACTATCAGTATATTTGTCCGCTATTAGCTATTACACGAACATAGAAAAAATTGGGTTTTTTTAGAAAGAGGGCCTGCGTAGAGCTTATAGCCCCGGGCCTCACCATAGGTTAATCCGGCCCTGGTTTAACGCCTTAAGGGCTGTGACATCATCGAAATTATTTTTCCCAATTTCAAAAATATTTTCACATCATCTCTTCTCAACAATTTTTATTAAGAAAGTTATTCTACATATTTTCTTATTTAAAATATAAGACGATATACAATGTCGAAAAATTAAACACTGACCCAGTTAAGTCTGCCACTCATTTTGTCAGTGTTGCTACTTTTTCATTACTAAAACTTTCTTTACACAAAAAAAATGTTTTTCGAGTCTGAAGGTCAGACTATGTCTATTACATGTTTTCGGGGTCGCTGAATCCGAATCCGAGATCTATTTAACCCCATTACATCAGGTTTTACCAATAACCCCATATCACTTCATAACCCAAACTGTCAAGTCCTATTACACACAACGCGGTCTTGTAAAGGAAGCTGTGCACATTACTCAGTAGTTTGATTTGATCTCTCATCGCGGGATATATTAAGGATCTATAAACATAATAAATTGAACCCTATAATCCCCTAACCCTTTAACCCTATAACTCCAATAATAACGTTACGCAGTAGTTGGATTATTTGATGCAAGGAACATAGTCTATATCGTTATTAACTCCCAATTTCATCACGTCCAGTAGATTCTCCGTCAATTTCAAAAATATCATGCCAAATGAAGCTTTATTTCGCGTATACTAACCCAAGTCCCTGGACTCCTTGGATCATGGCTTCCATGCGATCATAACAGGTACAGGTGGAAGACGTGTGGCTGCGTAAAGAAATATAAATAATGAAAGTTTTAGTAACACAAAAGTAGCAACGTTGACAAAATGAGTTACAGACTTAATTAGGTCAGTGTTTAATTTTTCGACACTGTATATCGTCCTATATTTTAAATAAGATGTAGAAAAACTTTCTTAATAAAAATTGTTGAGAAGAGGTGTGAAATATTTATGAAATTGGTAAAAATTATTTCGATGATGTCACAGCCCTTAAGTAACAGGACTTGGCAGCTTGGGTTATGAGGTTATATGGGGTTATTGGTACAACCTGGATTCGGATTCAGCGACACCGAAAACATGTAGTATGTAAAATTTTAAAAATTATTTGTTGGCAAAAATAATATTAATAAAATTGGGAAAAATAATTTCGATGGGGTCACAGCCCTCAGGGCACTACATTTAAGATCCCTGCCAGCGGTTCCCTATTCGCTCTTTCTGTTTTCGTGTAAAGTCATTACAGGAAATTACCATCAGTTCTGAGTCATATCATAAAGCGTTTTCAATTCTTGGCCGTTTTTCTGTATTTTTAATAACCTCTTATATACGAAAATTTTTATTTAGTAGGTTTTTTTATTTAGTTTTTTGCGTAGAATCCATTGTCATATGCGAGAATTTTCTATAGGTTTTTCAGTTTAAATCCAAATTTATATATTTTATATAACACCCTACACATTTTTCAGTTCTTCAAATCTATGTTTTCTCAAACGAGATATCCTACGTTTTCAATTTGTTATACCAAGTGTCCCATTTTAATTGATACACGTAAATATCTCGTCAGAGAAGCCACCAATCGAAAAATGGTCTAAAGTAAAAGTTGTTCAGTTCACAGGGGGAAACCAGATGCTTACCTAGGATTTGACCTTGGCCTCAACTTGAAGGTCAATTGAAGGTTAACTTGAGAATTTTAAATGGGGCCCCTATTTTTAACCTTAGAAATGGATTCAGCAGAAAAGTTCACATCCGGATATGATCACAGCATTGTCCTTGAGGTCAAGGTCAAGGTCACAACTAGTTTAAATGATTCGTCACTCTTGAAGCAGCCTCGAAATTCGTCCTTGACCTCCACATTGTCAGTCATTTGAAACCGACTATAAAAATCGACCTTCACCTCTACAAATGTTGCGAAAGATGTTCGGGATTGAATCTGAAGCTCTCTGTCGCCGAAGGTGACCTTGTCGAGCTCTGAATTCGAGAAGATGAATAGTATTACCATTAGGATGACGATGTCTTGGGAAGCGTTCACGGTATAACACTGCGGATCTTCTGTAATTACGGCGACATTCTCCCAGAACAAGGAGGATGTCAATGATATCGTTTGCTGGATAATCTGTCATTTTACCTCAAACTTAATCGAAATATTGGTTTAACGTTGTAATATTGGCACAGTCTTCACAAAATGCAATAAAGTCAAGGATGAAGTAATGACATATGAACATCGATGTTCATCAATACAGCACCAACGCAAAAAAATGACGGAATCGTGTAGCTTTCCCGTGCTTGCTTGCTTGAGTAAAAAGTTGAGTTTGCACAAACTGTGGTCAAGCTTCTACTTTAACTTGATATTGACACAATTTTACGAGATATATTTTAATATGATATTAAATGAACAACGGATTAATGAAATAAATAGGTACTAAATAATAATTATCAATTGTAGGAAAAAATAAAGCTATGAACGAGTGCGAGGAGAATGATAAAAATATCTTGTTACTCAACCAAGGTATAACTTCGTCTGAGAATTGAAAAAAGAGATATATGAGTACGTTACAAAGTAAATTGACTGACTGAAAAATTGAGAAAAAATAAAAATATCATACTATTTGTGAGCCATCGAATTATGTTGTCATTACGTTAGTATTCTGGATTTAAATCTTCACCTGATCTTCAAATGAACTTTTTATTTGATCCCTTACTTTGCAGCATACTTGGATACAAATTTACCGTTTTCCCAAGATCTGCTCTAAGTAATACACGGCCTGGCAGAAAAGAAAACAAAGTGAACCTTCAAATTCATTCCCAAACATCTTTCGCAACATTTGTAGAGGTGAAGGTTGATTTTTATAGTCGACCTTCAAATGACTTTGATATAGTGGAGGTCAAGGACGAATCGAAGGTCGTGATTGAGTACCTTGATGTAAATCCCATCGATTCTGGAGGTCAACATCTTATTCTGAGGCTGCTTTAAGGGTGACGATCATTTAAACTCGTTGTGACCTTGACCTTGACCTCAAGGTCAAAGTTGTGACCACATCCGGATGTAAAATTTTCTGCTGAATCCATTTCCAAGGTTAAAAATTTAAAATTCCGAAGTTGACCTTCAAGGTAAGGTCAAGGTTAAGTCCTAGGTAAGCAATTGGTTTCCCCCTGTGAACTGAACAACTTTTATTTTAGGCCATTTTTCGATTGGTGGCTTCTCTAACGAGATATTTACGTGTATCAATTAAAATGGGACACCCGGTATATGGCCTTTTGAGTGATGCAAAAAAATAAATAAAGTAATTTACTAGCATAATTACTACTTTGTTTACAATGATTCATCATAATTCTTCAAAATACATGTTAAAATATGGGAACGATGGCGTCTCAACTGAACTTTAAAATTTGCAACTTTCATTACAAAAAAATGCATATATAAGAAAAAAAACATAAGTCCAGAAACGCTTCGTGTTCGAGATATAGTGTTTGTTTGATTTCAAGCAATATAAGAAGTTTGCAAAGTAGTGAATTTTTACCTATACTGAAAATTTGTTTAAATCACTAGCCCACCCCAAGTCCAATTCATATGTCAAATATTCAGTATCTCTAAAAATAGGTCCTTTAAAATATTCATCCATAACAACTTTTACTCTTAAAATAATCTAATAAACCATCTTCGTTATCGTCAGAATCAGAAAAGGGCCTTAATCATTCGTGTGCAAAAGAAAACGGTTAAAAATTAATGAATCTGAAGATATAACATAATGAAATAAAATCTTTCTTTTTTAATACCTATTAGTAGGTATCTTTTATTTTTTCAGCATGTCATTTAAATATTTTTGTACTCATTGGCTTCTATTTTTCCAGCTATTCACAGCTGCTCTTCTGATTTATTCTGCATTCGCTGCTGTGTACTATGCAAAGTTCAACGTGATCACCACCGACTACGACTACTACGATGATTTTCTAGGTAGATCGCGCAGGGACTCATCATCGACGAACAGCTTCTGGTCAGGACTCTCATCACAGACGTTTCAAAGGATACTCGACGCTATTTCATCAAAAAAATATACATGAGGCTGTACATGAAGAGGGGAATACCTATTTCAGATATACTTTCTTTAGACTGATCGATAAAAGTTTTGAAATAGGAATTTGGACTCTTCATTTTTAATATAGTTATTTATAAAGTCAACTATGAGTTTTTTTTTAGTGGTTATATTTTGATAAAAGTATGAGACCCATGCCACTTTTCAGGGGATGATTTTTATAGAGGCCCACAGAGAAAACTTTCAAGACTAACAAATTTCAAAAGAAATTTGCGAAATTAACAATTAAATTAGGGGTTGCTGACCCCGAACAGCAGTTTTTTATAATGTTACAGTATTATGAAGTTTGAACAATACAACTTTAATATTAAATAAAATAATACAGCTTAATTGTTTTATTTTCCATTATCAGAATAACCAACCCATTTTATTTTTTTTTAAATTAAAGCGTGGGGTCTTTTTATATAGCATTCGTCATCGAACTATGACGTCACAACATATGAGAAAAAAAAAGAGTGTTTGCTCGTAACTTGGAAATGTCTGGAAATATTAAAAAAACTCCCCTTGGTTCGGAGTATAGCGCTCATTGAGGCGACACAAAATATCAGAAACAAAAACACTTTTTGCTTGTACCTCGGAAACGACTGGAAATATTAAAAAATCTCCCCCATAATAATTTTATTACCATATTGTTCTCATAATGCTCTCAACTTTAGATAATTTTCACTTCAAAAGCGTTTTTGAAATAGTATAAATAGTGTGAGTAATTTTTAAAATATTTCTAATACTCTTTTGTGATATTTCTATTTGTATTATGAATGACTTAATTCGAACTCCAGACAACTTCTCAAAAAATTTAACTAAAAAAAGTTGTTACATTGTATATTAAAAAAATAATAAATAAATAAATATGCTCTTCTAGTTTGGGGATGCGGCAACTTTTACCAAGAATTTCTTTCTTTTTGAGAAGGCACTGAAAAAAGTTTCTAATATGGATTACGAATTTTGCCATTCATCATACAAATAAAAATGTCACAAAACAATATCAGAAGCATTTTAAAAAAGCTACACATCATTTTATATTGTTCAAATACGCTTCTAAAATTGAAATTTTCTAATGTTGAGACTATCGTGAATATGGTAACAATGACGAACTGATAATTAGAAAAAGTTAATTATGATTATGAATCTTGAAATAAACATAAAAAACATAAACATAAAACACACCACAGAAATGAGACAACCCCCAAATCCAAAGCCAAAGGCGGTGCGGAAGGGGGCTACACTTGAAAAAACGCGAACAAACACCCATTATCGCTACCGTGGCGATTAAAATGGTAGGTACATGAAAAACAAATAACATTACATACTGAAAAATAATATAAAGTTACAATTTCTTCTACGCGTAGTCAATATTACATCTATCCTTTTAATAGGTAATAATAATAAATTATGCAGCAGAAATAAGGATACAAAATGATATCTTGACAAAATAAATATCTGTAGGTATACCTAAACTCTTTTATTTAAGCATGCCTATACACATAAACAAATATAAACATTTGTACAAAATATAAAATAAATGAAGTCAATTTCACTTGATTCATCCATATTTCAAATAGTTCTCACTGACTAAGTAGTTGCTCATCAAATTATATCGAAACGTATAGTCCATATTCCATTTTCTTAGTTCTTGTCCCTTGTCCTCGTCTATAATAGGTAGTGGGTATAACTATGTTTAGGTAGATGTGTCGCAAAATTGGAAATCTCTTTACACATATCGTTTTAAACATATTGTATTAATATTAATTATTTTATATGCACCTTACAATAACCACAACTGCACACACTACAAATTATCAAAGTAAAGATGGAGAACAACGAATCAAGGCAAACTGGCAAACCGCAAACCTAACCTAACATAATACGAATTACGAATTGAAAACGACACACGGGATCACGGGAAACAAACTCGGGCTATTACGCGCAGTCTACGGAAGTCACGAACATACATTTTTTCTAGACTTGTTCTTGTTATAAATATGCCAGCACAATTTTTTTCTGTTTATGTCTGTTTGTATAACAAAGGCAAATGAACTAACGCTTGAGAGGGATTGGGGATTGGGAGCAAAATTTAACTAATGTCGAATGTTCCATAAGATAAGCAAAAAAAGCAAAGGGTTGTTCGTCTGTTATGTTTTCGAGATCGAAAGGGAATGTTTCGAGTAATGTTTGAAACTCTCTTCAATTGAAACGTTTCGTCTATGTTTCACTAAAGAAGTTTTCAAGTGATACATTTCTGTAATGAAACAGAAACGTTTCTAGTTAATGTTTCAAATGTTTAGTAAAACATCTCATTTGCAACGTTTCATTTACGTTTCGTGTTTAGTGGGAAAATTGCTCTAGCACCCTCCAGTTTTTTTTAAATCGCGAAAATCATCCCAAAAATACGGAAAATCCCGTATTATTGTCTCGGATCTTAACATTCTCTCTTTTTTTTTATCGTACTCTTTTATCTTCAAATGATCTGTGTAGTGGATACATTTTTCTTTTTCTGCTATCTGGCTCGGACTCCCTTTTAAGCATCCAACAAAAATCGTCCATCATATTAACATCCCATCGTCCTTGGTACCGGCGTTCCATTTCCTTAAATTTAAATTTTCTAAACAGGGATTGTATCTGAGGATTCGGTTTTAGCTCGTCAAAATACATATAAAATAGTCTTATTGTGCTGGTTCTCACATTTATTTCAACCTTTGGACCCGAGCTCAAGCGAGAAAGATTTTCCGTGTTTTTGGGGTAGCTTTCGCGATTTAAAAAAAAATTGGAGGGAGATGGAGCATTTTTGACTCCGAATTCTGTTTCAGCGCGTCAAAATACATAAGGATAGGTGAGTCTAGTCTCTGGTATTTTCAGCTTTCTTTTTTGTGGGTCTGTGCAATTAATAAGGCAAATTCATAGTTTTAATTCTAACTTGATTTATTTTAGTTAGCACAAATGTTTCCAAACAAAATATAAGCTTCATGTAACTCTTCAATTACGTAGGTAATTAAATTTATTAGAGATGGGCACTTTTCGGAAAAGTGTGTTACAAACATGTCGATGAAATGTCCGGACATGTCGGGAAAAGTACTTTTGACCTTGAATCTAATAAGGCACCTATGAGTGACATCATGTTTTTACAGGTCACTGCTTGAGGGTACACAAAGCAAAATATTACTTTTATTCTAATGAATATGTGTCGAAATATTTTATTACTTTATTACCTACCTTTAGACTTTTTTTATAAACTGGTTTCTAATTTTCCCCGGACAGCCAATACACTTATTTAAATGTTTTCCATCCTACTGGAATTCTTAAAAATTGTTTTTGTTACATTTATAATGATCTGTACTTAATTCAGAAAAATATAACCAAACTGTTGATTTTGACATCATACTTCATATATAAACTATTTGTGTATTAAATATTAAATTTAGAATCAACTGATTACTATTTACTAATCGTTAACTTTGCCAAAAATAATAAAATATGGACATATAAAAGTAGGTATATTTTTAAAATGTAAATTGTCAGTTAAACAATTACCGACAAAATTACAAAAATTTTTTGCGGTAATTATGAATGCAACAAATAATTCCGTGCATGTGCATACAACTATTCAATCTTGAAAAATGTCCTCAGGACATGTCCACAGCAAACCTCTAAAATTTATAATATGCCCAGTACATATGGCAACACACTGCCACACATTGGAATCGCTAGAACTGTCGCCTATTACAGAGTAGAACAGTTACCATGTCAAATTTTATTTTATGCCAGCTCAGAAGAACCTGCATTATTTTTGTGTTGCCAATTTCCAGCAGTTAAAGCGCGGTTTGGAGCGAAACTATATTGTCTGTGGTAGAAGTATGGCGATCATCTGGTCTGGCTCCAATGAACACACTTAAACGAGTCTACCATGTTTTGTTGAGTGCTATTGTGTCAGGGGCATAGAAAGTGCAGCCATAAACGGGAGGGATTTGTTTCTCTCTTCGTTACATTATTACGTATGAGAATTTTACTAATATCTAGAGTTACTCTTATTATTATTGCCAGAGACTTCTGCTCTGGTTATAGAACTGCAAGATTCAGGGTCAAAGTTCCATTCTACTTCGAGGTGGCTCTGCAAATTCTCGGGGACTGCTGTTCGGTTTAGATTTATGTAAGGCAATCCGATCTCGTGTCTTAGCACGAATTTTGTGGCATTCCCGAGTTTTTTATGGAAAAATTCGAAGCTGAAATGAAATTTTAGGGTGTCTCACAATGGTTATCGGCGGTTATTCTGCTCCATGTGTCGTATGTGGCAGCTCGGGGTGTTAGGAACAGTTTGCAGCTCTGTGGAGTTTCGACAGTTGAATTGACAGTTGAATTCGAAATATGGATGATAATTTCGAAATGGTCTACTAGACGTTTTCGAATAACAGCAACTACTTTTGGACGGGCTTTCTGTGCAAAAGGTATCTGCAAATGGCTTTGTACGTCAGATTCGAAAGTTGAGTGGAATTTGAAATGCATTCTGGACTTGGAATACGATAATACGTTACTAGCTAATTATCACCAAATTCTTTTATGTTCTACCAGTCCCTGAATGTATGGCATCTATTTTCAAAACACACTGAATTATAAATGAAAATAAAATTCAAGGAAACTGACATCTATGTAATCCTTTTGTAACAAAAGAACTTTGTAACATATGAAGGCTATGCTTTCAAATTTTGTATTAAAGAATAAAGATTTTCAAAATGAAACAAAATACATTCAAAATACATTAAACTTAAAAAGACAGAGGAGGATATGACAGGAAAAAACAACACTAGTACTGATTTTTTTTTTTATTTTTTTAACAAATATGATTCAAAAGTATTTAAAGAAATATATATTGTACCCATGATACAACGACTAGAAAGTAAGATATTTCTGTGAACTAACTCTGATTTAAGTAGTGTATTATTAAAGTTTATGCTAACTGTTCATGATTACCTATCTAATAAATTAAAACTGGTTACAATATCTCAATAACTGCATAAGCCTTCAGTTCTGACATATTGTTTGACAAAAATTTGCTAATAAAACCGTTTCATTAATCATTTGGTAGCTCTTATTATTATTTTTTTAATTTAGCGACTTCTGGAACTAACTAGTCTGATGTGCTGAAATACCTGAAATAAATCCGAGTATTTTTGATAAGTATGTAAGCTCCAACCCAAATTTTTAAAATATTTTTGTTATTTGGAAAATGAAAAATATGTCCTTATTAAACAATTTGCTTCAGTTGTCTGTTGTACAACCAAGTACAAAACACATTTCAGGATGTCATTAATAGATAATAATCACCACAGGAATCAAAAGTGTGATACAACAATCAAAAACACACATAATATAAACATGAAATTTACTTTACTTTAGAACGTACAACCAAACCATAAAAATGGGTTGGCATTATTAATGGCACTGCTCATCAGTCCCACACAAATAATATCCAAAAACTATTTGATATCTACGTGTGTCATAACATTGCCGTGAGTAGTATGCACAATATCATATCTCTTAGTATTTGTATCATGTATTATACCTACTCATATACTTATTGTCTTAAAACAAAAACTATGAATAAAAAAAAGGATAATTACTAATGTAAAATCCAAGAGTTTATAAAAAGGGTCCAGTACACTTATAGTTGTATAAAAAAAATATAATAACAATAAGTGTAAATGATAATATGTGCTCCTTAGTAATAACATTCTGCTCTGGACTAAGTAAAACATTACAAGACATATTAAGTGCCGCAAATGTTATAAAAATGTTTTATTAAAAATTTAACCAAATTTTCTTCTTTCCTAATTTCTGATAGAAATCAAGCTGACCTACCTCCTGGAACTTAATAATCACAGTTTAATTTCTATGAAATATTGTGTCATCCTAAGACCATAATGAAACAATTTACATACACAAAAAACTAAATCATTATTTATTGAAATAAAAGTTTTACAAGAAATTAAGAATCACAACTATAACAGTTTAATATTTTCCCTCTTCTAAAAAACTATTACCTATTAAATTTCGCTCAGCAACATTGAAAAAGAAACATGTACTGTAATCTACTTTATTTGTAATACACTAAATATAAATTTTTCATATAAAAAGTTATCAAAAAGCGTATACGCACTAAAAATGTATTCTTAGGATAACAGTACACAATGTCATAAATTAGTAAAACCAGTAATAATAATATAAAATCTACCTACATTATTACTTACGCTGACTGGTAGATTTATTTTCATCATCGTCTACATTTTCCTCAACTTCAGTACTACTACTACCATCTTCTTGTTCCATACCATTCTCTCCATCTCCTTCAACATCTGGCACCAAATAATATTGAAGAGGATTTAGCCATAAATCATCCTTTATAACTTCAGCAATATCATCCGTATACGGATCAATATTATCGTTAAACCAACCGAAGAATGTCTTAGACGGTTCGTGGCGCCGTTTTCTTCCTCCTCTACTTATTTCTGAGGTTTGACCCAAAGTGCATCCTTCCTTCCATATGATCTGTGTGCTCTCAGAAGTTGGGGTGGCTGAAAAAATTTAAGTAGATATTTTTTACCTAATTATACAGGGTGATTCACAACTTATTAAAAAAATTTGGGAGTAGATGCGGCATGAGAAATGGAGTCAATATCGTAAAAAAAATTTTTGTAAAATCCTTAGTTTCCGAGAAAAAAATTATTGAAGTTATAGTACATTCAACCACTACATAGCTGGACAACTGAAGTCTCTAGCGACACTCGCAATATGCGTGGAGAGCCACGTGGCCTTAGCGACTCCGAATACTGAAATCCGTCGTTGCGATAGTGTTTGCCTCTTATCTGTGGTGTTTACAACAGTTTTTTAGTAGTTAGTGTCAAAAATGGTTTGCATGTATAGCAACTCGGAGTTGATGGATATCGTTTTAATTTATGGTGAAGCAAGACAACATTTGCATTATGGTGAAGTATTTGTGTTAGTTCGTAGAAAGTAAGACGGACCCAAATGTGTTTACACGTTGGTGGATAAAATTTTGAACAATTGTTGTTGTAATATTGGGGATGACAAATGATTTTATTATTTAAAAACACAAATTAATTTTATGAATTAATAAAGGCAAAAGCATTTGAATTTGCCGATATAAAATAGGTGCTATAAAATTCTATTTATTTCTTTCCTTGCGAAATTTTTTGTCCGTTTTTATCACACCGCCATAGCGGTCACATTGTGCGAGGTTAGATTTTACAGTGGACCAGTTTCCAGTGCCGTGCAGAAGTGTATTTTTAAATCATTTTCGAACTGCCCTTTTTGATTTTTTCTTTACAAAATTGTATTTGTAAGGGTCCCCTATACATCCAGAATTTTTTTTTTTTTGATAAGTTCTGAATAACCCTGTATACAGAAAATTCTTATTGTTAAATTTTTATAAACAGTGTGGCCCATTAAGAACCTTAAAATTTCATTGGGACGTACGATACGAATGATTTTTTTCCAAACAGTGTCTTTTAGGGATGAAAACAAATATTTCACAAAATTGTGTCAAAAAAGTTGTTTATAATTAAATTTTATGGTCACATACAGTTGTAGAGGCGATTTTTATTGACAATTTCGTAAAAATTAATTTATTTTCTTTAATTGCTCCAAAAATTGATAAATGGTAATAAAATTGGATTCTAAACAACTTAAAACAACTGTGATATCTTTGCAATATCTGTTTAATAAAAAAATAACAGAATTAAGTAATTTTTATAATTTCAAATCCCTAATATGTTAAACATTTGTCTAATAAGTTTAAACACTTATGTATTTATACATTTTTACTTTGAAAACAATCTTTTACTCAGTAGTTCTGTACCTTTCAACTTGCAGTATCACTGAACTCAAGAAAAATAAATAAATCGAAAAGGAATCTCAAAAGTAAACCTTTGCCAAAGTATATGTAGACAGTAAGTTTTAAAATTTTTAAGTTCTTCACAATATTTGCTTGATGAAGATGCTTTCAATTTTTTTTTTAATTTACAATGTAATCAATTCTGAATATGTAAGATGTTCAAGTTTCTATTAGAAAATCAAACGGTTTGAATACATGCACTGATTTGTCATGTATTTTTAATAATTATAATAAGTCTGTTAACATGTTTATAACAAATATACATACATTTTAACAAAAGTTACAACATTATCATATCTGTGAGTTGTGAGATGATAAAATTACATTACATTTTGACCAAAAAAACACCATTATAGTTTTTATATAAACAAAATATCATTGACGTTTCTTTGAATTGTCGGCACTACTCCACATAGTGTCGTAAGGCAATGAAATGTCATATGAAATTTCAAAGTTTGCCTTCTTGACGCTGTTACATGGCTACATTTTCGAACTTTAGAAAAGAACCTGATTTTTCTGGAAAACTGTTAGAGATAAGTATGGACAGTATTACATCAGTCGAAAGGGCATTCAATTTTCAAAAAGTTTTTCAACTCGTAAGATTATTAAATGTAGGTCTCAGTTTCTCCGAGTTTGAATAATGTACACGTTTTGTTCACGGATGACAAGATGGAGTAATTTATGTCAAAACGAACTGTGAAAATTGCAGGTTTCCAACTCTTATGGTTTAGATGCTATCTAGCTTCATTTAGTGAGCTAAAATCGTGATTTTTTTTTTAAAGACAACTGAATCTCTCAAAAACGGTAAGTTTTAAACACTATGTACATTTAATAAACTCTACCTAATATTAACCAAGGAATTCAAAAATGCAATAATATACAGAGCATTTAAACTAACAAAGTTATGTAACGCCCACGCAAAATTAAACACTCTGTAAACCTAAAAATATTTTCTTTACATGGCTCACACGATTCTAGACAACTTTTACTAAAACCATTTTTTTAACAATTTTACAGTTACAGAGTTACAGAAGAATTCCTCTTAGGTGGAACACCATGTATATTTAAACAATAAATTTATATCTATACAGGGTATTTTATGACGATGATGATGTGTGTTCCTTGCAAAAAGTCTTAATGACGTCTATTACTTGTTTATGAGAGATAGCGTGTTGAAATTTAAAAAAATATTTTTTTCTTTCAAATACATATCGCTAATTATATTTTACATAGATCGGTGAAACTTGTAGTGGTTTAACTAATTAAAGGTAAAAATTCATTGATTGAATTGGTATAGAAATATGTCAACTAGCCGCGAAGATACCGGAAGATAGTATCATTAAAAACTTCAGAATTTTTGTCACCACTGAATTTTAAATAAATTCATTGGTAGAATTTAATTCCTAATTGTATTTGAAAGAAAAATGATATCTTACACTTTATTAAAAAAAAAACAGGATATTTTCAAGTTTTTTTTTTAGTTTAAAATAAGCCAAGAATAAATAAACTAAAAATCTCTAAAAGTATTCAATTCACATAAAAAAATGTAAAGGACATATTTGTTTGAAATTTTTTAAATGAATAAATTTAAATGTACCATCAAAAGCCTTAAAAAATTAAATTTTTTGGGAATTATTCCACAGATAAATAAAAATTTCTATAACGATATTTTTGAAATTTCGATGATTATATTTTATAGGTATTTGTTTGAAATAAAAATTCCTAGAAATATTTTTTGTAGAAATGTTTCATAATCATTTTCGATTTAACTATGGGGCAACTTGTTAATGTCATGTTTTTCAAACAAAACATATCAAAAAAATGTATCTTTTTTCATTGAAATACAATTATGAAATTATCAAATGCACTAACCAAACCAAAAAAACTTAATGACGTAGAAATTCTGAGGTTTTCAATGATAGTGCTCCCCCCCCAGTATTTTCGTCACTGGTTGACGTATTTGTATTCAATTCACCAAATATTTGTCTTTAGTTAAGTTACTAGCTCGTTTCATCAACATCAAGGAAATTTGAAAAATGTGATATTTTCATTAATTCCAACACCCTGTACCTCAGAAACCAGTGGCTTTATACATCCGGTTCATTAAAACTTTGGGACATAAAAAGAATCAAGCAACACGTTCTTGAACTTATAACAGAACTTAAAAATAACTATCTATATTTTCAATTAATCATTCCAACCACAACTTTTTTATTTGTACAGAATAACTATTTGTGATTCCAGAAATGGGTTAACAAAAATATTAATTAATTACAATTACCACAGCCTAAATGGTATTCCTTCGTGATAACTGCATTTTCAAAATATGGATTTTCCTCAAAATAAAATTTTATCCAGTAACCGGATTTTATGTCTTCAAATTCTTCAACTTCCAGTTTAGTTAAATGATGGAGGCAATCTTCTTCAGAATCATCTAAGAGAGCGCTCAAATCTGGATGGTTCATTATCTAACATAATAAGGATTAAGGAAAACTTTAAGCAAATATAGGGTTATGTTAAACAAATGACAGGTGAAAAGGATACAGCTGTTATCCAGAAATTAGGAATATTGCTGATAATATGATTTCTTTTATCGAAGAAAGGCTTTCGAAGTTGATTATACTTTTGTTCGACTTTAAGAATTTCCTCACTGGCTTTTTCATTTATATTGTCAATATCGTTCTGACACACATCAATTTCTTCGAGGGCTTTTTGAGTAGCTGCATCGAAATCTGAACTCCTATCGGATTCTGAAAATCTTTTTACTTTTCTAGAAGATGTATCTCCTGACATACTGGCAGTTAGTTACTCTTATTTATAGAGTAAAATTTATAAAAATACAGTGACACCAAAGCTACAAGTTTAAAACCAAGACGCCGAAAATGAAAACGCGACTAGCGCCGCACGTTCAAATAGCATGCGTATTCAATGAATGTATTATTTTAAATTGTCCCGCCCTTTAAGGATAGTCTACCTTAAATTGCTTTCGAAAATGAAATTGAATTAATACCTATAGAAATATATATTTTTTAATATTGTTCTGATTTCGATTGAATTTTATGGATATTTTAGGAATAAATGTAAACAATACAAATAGAGATAACAATTTTACCTCATTCCTTATGCCGCATGTATATACATACTTGCTTGGTTTAGGTATGGGTAAATTTACTCCCATACAATTTGAGATAGATTATGCGCTTGCGTAACTTCCACCATGTTTTGCTCTACCCACGGCTTTAAATTATTTATTTATATGTAAACTGTTTTCGAGGCCATTTAACATCTTTCAGAATTACCTACCTGCAAATATATAAATTACTAAATATTTACCTTTTTGTAAAATAAAGAAAATGGACAGACAAAAATAACTACTCGAATTGGATATTGTAGAACTAATTTTAGATTCTCCTCGGTGCAGCTGTGAAAACGTTATGTTATTATAACAAGGTTTTTAGTTACTTACCTAACTTAAGTTCTTATAAAATTTAGACAGTTCAGAATTATTTTAATATTTTTATATAAACAATAATTTATTATTTCATAAACATATTAAATTTAATTTCATAGACGATTTCCCAAATTCGAATATCGCGGTAGTGACTTTTGAAGTTTATATTTGGTCGTGAAAAATCAGTTGGTAGCAACGCGTGTGGACAGTTTGGCATTTTGTGATGTGAGAATTTTTGTTGAGAGTTTTTTTAATGGTATAATTCTTAAAAATACAAGAAACATTAATGTCCTATGGAAATTTTAGGAATAATCAACTAAAATCTAACTATCCAAGATACCGCGCAATGCCACGAAGACCAAGAATTGACTGTATGCGTCTCTTCAAATTTGGTTAAGAGATGAAAATAAAAAATGATGGAATGCAAATAAAAACATTAGAACATATGTGATGTGAAACATAATTTAGTGGCATAAAAATAAAAGGAATGAGTGAAAAGATATAGTGTTGATTTGTTTAAGGGCTGAGACAAGTAAAGGACATGATCAATGGTAGGTGGTAGTGTTAGTGCAGCATGAAAGGAAGTAGTGTATGATAAAAGTGCGAAATGATTAAGGAAAAGCACGAGAAAGGTTCAGATACAGCAAAAGATGAGGCTGGCAGCTCTGACAAAGAAGTTGCCAGTGCAGAAGTTCGTGTTAAAAAGGAAGATGATAGTGTTAAAAAGGAGCCTACCATCGGGCCTATCACTAAGAACGGGGGAATTGTGGGATCAACTAACACAGGTTCGATGCAAAGTGCACCAGATCGAAAGACTGATGTTCACTCTGAAGACACAGGTACTGATAATAGTTCAGTTCCTCTGAAGCAAGAGGAGTGTGTAGATAATGAACTTAGTGGAGATACGTTTGGGTTAGGATTGCCTACTGGTGGAGGAGGTCCACATCCTACTCCTCCAGAGGGTATACAACCATTAGCCAGCAATGTTATCAACAAACAACCCAATTCTATGGAGGTACAGTACATGCAGCAACAGAGTCAAATTTTTGTATTTTCTACAATGCTGGCAAATACGGGTGCTGAAGAGGTTTTACAGGGCAGGTATCCTTCGATTATTGCATACCATTGTGCGCAACCTGGTACAAAGAAGTACTTAGAAAAGAACCCACTTAAAGTTACTCAATTTAATCGTCAAAATCCTGCTCAGTGGCTGAACAATCTGGCAATGATGAAAAATAAAGGTTGCACTCGTAGTCCTGGACTCGGTCCTAAACCTCCACCCACCTTAGATAATTTTTTGGGCCCTGATGGTCTCGATGATATGGTGGGTTTAGACGATGGAAATATGCCTTGGGATCAGAAGAATAATCATCACCTAGAAGGTCTAGATGCTGCTGTTTCAAATGGAATACCTGATGTGGTGCCTGATATGGATGCTTGTAGTCCTTCCTTATCAAACGTTCAGCCCTCACTTCAGGGCGTCAAAGTGCCTGATGAGAACCTTACTCCCCAACAACGGCAGCACCGCGAAGAACAGTTAGCTACAATACGTAAAATGCAGCAGATGCTGTTTCCTGAAAATCAAAGTATAGAAGGTGGTGGCCCACCAGATCAGAATATGCCACCCGTCACAGCTCAAGTAGAGTGGCAGAAGTTACAACATCAGTTTTATGACGATCGAAAAGGTAAACCCGGCTCTGGATCGGTAGTACCAGTTGGTCCCGTGAGTGGAGGAAGTGTGGCAGTGAGTTGTGGTACTGGAACTATGGGTCCTAATGTCCCGGGAGGAAGCGCTAATACTTCCTCTGTAAATAGAAGTGTATCGGGGTCAGGACCAAGATTACAAGGACCTCCTCCCCCCTACCACCAAACACCACGTTCTGCTAGTGTTCCAATAGCGTTACAAAGCCCCAGTCCTGCTTCTCCTAATAATCCCACATCAAATTTATCTCTACCATCCCCTAGAGCTTCATCGGCTCTAAATTCTCCAGCCGACCCCAATAGACCTTTTGGTTTGACAAGACACATGAGTACTGGGCAGAGTCCTACCTCGCAAGATTCTCCCTCGGCACCAAGACTTAATCACAGTAATCCAGGCACACCTCTCTCATCACACCACCTGTCTCCAAGTATAACTAACAGTAATACGGAACCAACATCGACCCACCAATCGTCAGGTTTGTTTCCAAAATATTTATATATTTTTTTATATACACACAACATAGGTAATTCATGTAGTTTTAATATAAAGATAGGCACAAAGTACTAAATTGCTTCTTTTAAAAATATGCACGCAAATAAATTTATTTTAAAAATAATGATACAGGTAGTTTACATTAAAGGAAAGTGTTTGTATTACTAGTTTTAGAAATATAAACACTAAAAGAAACATTATCATTTCTATCACTAGCAAAAAAAGGGGTTATTTTGTAATATATTTCTATTATTTATCAATAAATTTTTTGTTTTAGAGCAGGTTTGAATAACTGTTATGACTATTATGAATAAATAAATAAGTAAATGGTTTGGATAGATTTGTGACACTCGTAAGTTTTCTTAAAATTTTTATAAAATCGAAAAAACTGATTTTTGTCATATCAAGGAATACTAACATGAACACATCAAAAAAGTACATTTTAATTCAGGAAGGCAGTAAACCGAGGGGTTAATCAATCAGTAATTTTGATGTACAAGATAGTGCAAAAGTTTCTAATTTTCTCACAATCTGTAAATTTTTACAATAAAGTCGTTCCCATTTTCTATTATTTTATTTTTCAAAATATTTGATATAAATATATATTTCCTAATTTCTTTTTATCATTTTATGCAAAAAAAGTACACAGTATACGATCATGTAAATATTAGATGTTTGTGTATTACAAATATGTTTCTATAGTAATCGTAAAAACAAATCTATGATTTTGACACGTACATTTTCAACTTACGATTTGTCATTAGTGAAGTATTTGTATTGGCATTTTGTTGCGATTAAATCCCGTGTATAGTAATTTTACACTTAAACCACATTTGACCGTTTTTGGCAGTACCCTCTATTCTATACAGTCTTATATAGTTGTGAGACAACTACCTATATAATTGCAGAATCCTATACAATGAAAATTGGTACTTTTTTCCATAATTTTGCCTCTGTCACAGAAGTGCTATACGTTCTCTGCCTCTGACTAAACAGTACGTCAACTTCTATTAGGTATTTCCAGAAATTCTTTTCAAAAACGAAAAACCAAGAAAGTAATTTTGATATTAATTGATTGATTTAATTGAGTAATACTTTAGTAATATTTCAATTATTTATGTCATACATGCGGTCCACGCATACAGGATTGGAAAGTCCCCATGGTTCATCGGCCGTTACGTAAGAGCGATAAAGTAAGTCATAGAAATACGTGCGATAGAGAAAGATGGCTATAATGAAACCATCTAATAGTCACCGCCCATTTCGCCCTTCCACAAATAAGAAGTGGATCTTATTTGTGGAAGGGCGAAATGGGCGGTGACTATTAGATGCCTTCATTATAGCCATCTTTCTCTATCGCATGGATTTCTATGACTTTCTTTATCGCTCTCACATAACGGCCGATGAACCATGAGTACTTTCGGACCCTGTATATGTCTTTGAAGCTGCAATCTCTCATTCCATACCCTTTTTTCTTTTATTTCTGAGTAATACTTGAGTAATTAATTATTAGTATTTTAGTATATATTTAGTCAGCAGTTTTCCCTTCGATAATTTTATTAAAATTACTTTTAACACAACACTGCATCGGAACAGTTTCTTTACATCTCGGTTACCATAATCGAAACTTGAATATTAATTTTTGCTAACCATGATTTGAGATGAAGAATACAAAATTATCATATTTTCATTGTCATAACTATTTTAACTTACACTTGATTTTTTTATTGGTACACAGAAGATAGTATTGACTATTATTATATGACAATATATCGCAAAAGGCGGATATCTAATATACATACTATTTATTAATAACATTAATTTATATGTACATGTTTATTGGTTATAAATGTCCATTACCCTTAACTTTTTCATTTTTATATTTAGAAAAAAGTTACATAATAATATAATAGTTATCAAGCAGTACCTAGTTGTTTATGATAATATTGAATTTTGTACAAGGTGTTCTCAAAAAAATGTGGCAAACTAAACTTATGCTTTTTCTGCTCTTTTCAAGGGGGAAACCGCTGGCCAAAATTTGTACACTAAATTCTCACTTACATAAACAACGACTTAAGTATTATTCGGAAATAATAAAAGAAAGTAAGAAGTGGGGGAGTAGCGGCTTTAGACGCATAAGTACATGCATCGTGTGTATGCAGTATTACACAAACATTACTCAAACTCATATATCAAATTATGCCTGCGGTTTTTCCTTCAGTTTTTACTAATGGAACATTCCTTTTTTTTGTATTTTTGAAATCTGTTTCTTGATTTCTCTAAGTCCAGCAATATATATCTAACCGTTTATGAAATGTAGGAGAATTTTTATTGATTTTTCTTTTCCAACATGAAAATAGCTCAAATGAAAATACAAAATTTTATTAATGTCTGAATAAATGTTCAATGTGGCCTTCGGTTTGTTCTATGTGTAACTTATAAATGTGTATTAATTAATTTATTATTTTTGCTCTCATTTATTATATTTTTTGAGTTATTTCATTCATAAAAATTGGTTCTAAGGTAACACCGTAAAAATGTATTCATAGGACTTAAATCAGGTCCATTTACAGGCTACTGAATATAGCCAAATTTGCCCAACCAATAATTGGAGGGCTCAGAAGCCAATCAGTGGAAGTCACTGAATCTAGAAAATGAGAACATTGGCTGTTTGTAAAACTTGTAGTAAAATAAAGATTCCCGTAAATATACTAATAATTATTTTTATTGAGATATAGGTAATATTTGATACATTCATACATTTCAACTTTAAGAAAGAACCTTCAATAGGTAACTCAATTTCCAGGGAAGTGACTTACACTGATTGGCTTCTGAGCCCTCCAATTAAAAGTAGTTCTCAGCATATTTCTTATGTTAAGTGAAGGAAGAGTCTTGCCAAATAATATTGTTAACAAAATTAACTACCTACTAAATCTTCACAATATTCTTACTAAAATAACTCAAGATATAGAAATAATAAATGAGAACCACAAAATAATAACAGAAACAATAAATACATTAAAACGTAGTTATAGGTTATGCATAGAACAAACTGATGGCCATCATTTTTTTTTGTAGATATCAATTAAATTTCTTACATTTCACTTACATTTTTTTTTTTCATATTAGAAAGGATGAAAAAGTGCCAAATAGTCTCCTGTATTTCATAAACAATAAAAGCAAATATACAATATTGCTGGAATCGGCGAAAGCAAACCACAGATTACAAAAATCCAAAAATAGACAGTGTTCCATTAAAAAAATAACATGTTTAGTATGTTACATTCTCTACATAGTTATTATTTTGTAAAGATTGGTGCCCAAGTTGCATCGAGTATTACACAGGGTGTTGCATTTGTGTTGCGAAAGAGAGTGATAGCATTTATAGTTGGTACGATCTCAGTTGGAACCGCATAAAAACATTTAACTCATAATTTCTACCGAATCCATTGACGTCCAGAAAACTTGAGCCCTGTCTCGTCTAGATATACTATATTCCGAGCTATATTACCATATAATTACCATACGATTGTCAAATTTTTTATGTTTAAAATCGAATTGTAATGAAGCACGTCGTAAAATATCTAAAGATTTATAATTATAATCAGGATAATCACTTAATTTATCTCGAATTGTGTTTAAAGTAGGAACTTTATTTTCTTTATACATATTATACATTACATCTGGTAAAATCGTCAATTTTCTTTAATTTCATATTTTGCCGTTTCCTCTTTGTACTGTGATCAATCTTTTAATTACACGATAAATTGTCATTTTTTATATCTTAGTTAATTCGTTAATACGTTTCCTAACTTTTTTATCACATTGTTCACTATTTTCAATTTTCAAACATCCATATATATTTAATATAATACGTTGACTTTTTACGTGTAAATCTTTGTTTTTAAACTGTAAGTTTGTTTCGATACTTTTGACCGTTTCCTCTATTTGGGGATTTTCCCGAGTTATTTCGTTATCCTCCGCTTCAAAGAGTCTCCAGAGAGCCACGCTAAATTACTAGATAATTGCATATAACATTTATTTTAATAACTATTACCCTTTACTGGTTACGATATGAACAAATAATAATATTAACTAATAAATAATAATATGTATTATACCAACAACATACCTCGCCAAGCAATACTCTGCACTGTACTGGCAAAGCGGCAAAGCTAAGTGAACCTGTGTACCATACAAAAAAATTATTTATGACCTAGTGGACCAATACAGGTTTGCTTTGATGGCTAGCGTGCCGCCGTCAATTCTACACCAGGCGGACTAGTTTACCAATACCGGAGTCGCCGAATTGCCATTCGAGTATAAATTACGAGACACATCATGGTCAAAGCATACGAAGAAATTTCAGGACAAGTGCATACGGTCCTGTGGTAACAACTATACTAGATACCACATTGTACTAAACATTGAAAGACCACCACTAGATTGCAAAATGGTTTCAACTAAAACAATTCATTTAATAATACTGCTGGAAACACCGCCTTGCTTATAGGGTGTTATACAAAAGTTGAGTCATTCATATTATATTCTGTACCGCTTAGTATTTCAGTAAAGATGTTTTTTTGAAATTTAAAGCTCAGCAACATTGTTGTCGAATGCAGAAAATAGTTAAAATGCTCTTGTGAAAATTAGTCTCAATTGTTTCGGACACCGACACAGCAAATACTGTAATGGGGTGTTTACATAAAAAAAAATGTGTAGCGTTTTATCACTGAATATTTTTCTTTGATGAAAGTTAATGTTATAGTTATAAACAATTTTGATAAAAACTCCTTTTATTTGATTTTAAAAATTTTAATTCTACCTCTGACGTATTAGACTATGGACATTGTTATTACAGAAACTTCTTATTTAAATAACTCCTCTGTTTTTCTATTACTAAGTAAAAGGAGAAAGGCAGTAGAGAAGGTTAAATCGTACTTATAATTTGATACACCAGGATTCCGCCACTCAAAAGAATTT